TCATTTCTAATTTCAAAATTATTTTACCATAACATTCTAAATCTCTATGTTTTTCAAATTATTTAACCTTAATATTTAAATTATTTTTAAAGTATATTTTAATCTTAAATTATTTTAAATTTAGTTGTAATTTTATAATTTTATTTTATATTTTTATACTTTTAAATTTTATTTTTAGATTATATAATTTGAATTTATAAATTTTATATTTATGATATGTATTATAAGCCTTTTAAGTTTTAAATTTTATGTTTCTTCAATGTGGATTTTTCTAGAAAATTAATATAAATTTAAAAATAAAATAAAATATTAACTGGGTACACGTGACACAAAAATGTGGGTACCCGAATTTTATGGGTACCTGACTTACGGGTATTTGCCTTTTACGGATCAGATCATGGGCCAAATTTTTGTGACCTGAATGTGGGTACTTGGATTTGAACACCCCTACCACTAACTATTAAAAATTGAGTTATTTGAGTTGTATTTAAAATTTGATTTTAACTTGAAATTTTTTCAGATCAAGTCGAGTTTATGAAATTATAACTCAAAGTCAATTGCCAAGTTGAAAAAAATCAATTTTTCGAGTTGAATTTTGTTCACCCCTGAATTTAAGTGTTTCTAAGTTACTGAAAACTAGAAATACTAACAATTGCACTATATATAGAAGTCACTAATTTTATTTAAAAGTATTTAAAATTATAGTGAAGGTTTGTAACTATAAATGTAAACTAAATATATAATTAGAATATTCTCGTATAATCATTTATAAAATAAAATAGTCACTTAATTAAGATTTCATATAAGAAAAAGATTAAAAGTTCATCCAAAAAATTCAAATAAAAGATAGATGATAACAGACCTGACTGCATCGGCAATTAATCACTATAAGAGATCAAACTACTCAAAGACAATTGACTTGCAAATCAGAGTCAAAAGTCGTGAAAAAACTATCTCCGAATGAAAACCTTGTATCTAAATCTAATATGATGATCAAAAGCAAAAAAGATCAATATGATAATAAGTAAACACCATATTAATTAGTCGAGACGATGTCAAATATAACCTTAAAAATTTTAAACAAAAAGAACGGTTAAACAATCAATAAAAGACCGAAAATATACCAAACGATAAATGCAAGCACAAAATAAAGATTAAATTATTAATAATTAAAAAATAAAAAACAAAAATACTATATAATAATAAAGTAAAAAAATATAACAAAGCATTGACGATGGATTACTAACTCCAAAACTAATATCCAAATTCCTAATAAAATTGAAAAAGTGGCAAGCGTGGCTAGAGATTATTGTGTAACCGAATATACTTTTTAAAGATATGGTTAGATATGTGTATATTTCCATGGATATTGGTATGTACAAAGGTTATGGATACTAATTCTAGTCTTGGCTGAAGAAAAACAATCAGACATCTACAACAAAATCATGTATGTTTTATGACTATGGAGCACACGACAATTTCTGGGTCAGTTAATTTACATTGAACACCCATCAGTTAGGGAAGAAGACGATGACTCCACGTGTTGATATATAGTACACGTGGCCATAAACTGAAGATTAACTAAGCCGAAGGAGGGAAGTTGATGATCATTGAAAGGAATCTGGGTCAACAATAATTGGCTCAAACAAAACTATTCCACAGGGCGGTGTCTCAGCCATTGAGAGACAAAAGTGTTCTTTTTTGTGAGAAAAGAGTAATGAGAAAGGAATAGTTTTGATCTGATACAAAGAAAAGGGCTGCTCTTCCTCTATTTCAACTGTGGAAAATTTTTACAAACTTGATGGTTCGTGCCTTCGTAGCTTAATTCTTTAGTTAAAAAATATTATCTTTTGTTTCGTAAATGAATCAAGTTTGGATAAATAAATTTATATTCGTATTTAGCATAAATTACTTGTTTAGTATAATAAGTTATCAGTTTTGATATATTTTAGTACCTAAACTTTTAATTTTTTCAAAATCATACCTAAAGTTTAATTTTTGTTTTATTTTAATACCAATTTTCAAAATTTAAAGTTAAGTTTAAAATTGAAAGTTTAGGTACTAAAACGAGCCAAAATTGATAGTTTAATACCTAAACACGTTAAGTTTTTAATAGTGGGGTACTAAAATGAAACAAAAACTAAACATTAGATATGATTTTGAAAAAATTAAAAGTTTAGTTACTAAAATGGATCAAAACTAATAGTTTAGGTACTAAATATGCAGTTTACTCTAGTATTTGTTTGTTTATTTTTGAAGGTATTTATGTTCGATTTGTATTTTCTTAGTATCGTGTTATTTATTTTTGAATGTATTTATATTCATTCGTTTAACGTTCATAAGCATCTTCGTTTAACATTCACAAACATATTTATTTAGCGTTCATGCCACTTTTATGCCTTTAGGTATAATTACATCATAGTCCTTAAGTTTCACAGCTTGAACTCCAAATTTAATCTTATGTTTAATTTAATATCTTTCTTCACTAATTTAAAAAAAAAAAAAAGAATTGGATAAGTGATCTTATAAATGAAATGATTAGATAAACAAACTTATAAACAATTTTATTCGTGAAAATAAACGAACTGAACACACCTAAAATTATGTTGATATTCCTTGAGGTCCCGAGTTTGAGCACTACGAATGACAATGGCATGAGTGTTCAATGTCATATGATTGAAAATTATCTTTGAACATATACTGCCTTGTACTCATCTTATATTAATAAAAAACCATAATAAACAAACACGAACTAAACGATCTTGATGGTAAATAAATTTTTGTCATTCCTTGAGGTCCTAAGTTCGAGCATCAGGAATGTCAGTGATACAAAAATTGTTGAAATCTATGAACATATATTACCTTATACTTATCTCGGATTAATAAAAAAAAACTTAATAAACAAACATAAATGAAATAACCAAAGAGAGTGAAAACGAAATGTTGATGGAAAACAAGAGAATCGTGGAGAATAAACAATGGGAAAAAAACAAAAAGAACATCTATTTCAACTGTTCATTCCACCATTTCCCACTGATGATAGAAGCAATGTAGTTTTCATGAAAGTTGCACAAAGCATGCCAGAGCTTCATAGTCTTCTTGTTTCGTTTGGGAAAAAAGAAGGCAATAAGACAAGAGAATCTGAATTTTAAACATTTGCTTTTTTTTTTAAAATACAATTCGTCTCAGATTCAGTGTGTCAACGTAGATGCTTTTATGCATTTAAAAATGGGGAGCCCTGGTTTTAAAAATGAGGTTAATTTGCCATCATTTGCAGCATTGGTTAAGTCAACAGTGATTTGTCTCGTAGAGCTAGGCTGCTTTCATTTGCCTTACTTTACTTGTAAAATTTCCAAAGTGGGTTTGATTTGTGCTCCCATCATTCTTGAGGAATTACGCCCATAATTCACTTTACCAAAGCATGCGTGTTGACAGCATCACCACTAAGCAAAACCAAAACCATTTTCTTCATTCCAAGTGGGGCGTCTCCGTCTCCAAACAAAACTTCACCAATCACTTATTACACTTCTTCAACTAAAATCCCATTACCTCAAAATGGATCTTGGAGATGGTAGCTAGCGTCATTGGCTGTTGGGAGTTGCTGCAAAATAAGCATGAAGAAAACGGTGTGTGTTAAAGAACAAAGGTTGCTTTCATCCTTTTACCGACCACAAGATAATAGAGAGATTGAACACGCTTATTGATGATGAAACCGCTGCAAATATAATATTCAACGTTGCCTATGATTAGTCAACGACAGAGATCACTTTTGGTTTCAGATGGTCCCAACAGTATCCAAACTGATCTTGTGCTGTAAAAAATTGGGGTTCGGTCACAACCCACTTACTGTCCAAATGCAGAGAACTCCAATTTTCTTTTGTTAAGGTCTTGTTAACCCCATTACACTTAAAGAGTCGATTCATTATAAAAATTATTAGACACCAGAGTTTTTTTTTTTAAATAATATTGAGTGATTATAAAATAATATCAGTTCAGCATGAATCAAATTATTTCAGTGGTTAAAAGAATCGTGATTGTTCCTATAAGTCACGGGTTTGAGCATCAACGAGGGTGATTGAGCGTTCATTGTCAAATAGTTAAAAATATTTATAACGAACACTAGTTTGTAATCACCTTAACTTAATAAAAAAATAACATTTCCTTTTATTACTAAGACCACTTTACACTAAAGTTTAATTGAGAATCAATATGAATTTTAGTACTATAATTTTATTGTGTCAAAATTATTTTGTGATATTATGTTTTTGGTACAATTCTTCCATCCATTAATTTCTTCTCTACTAAAACAGTTTTAAGACAATTCTCTCACAAAATAAGTCATCCGATAATTTTTTTTTTTACAAGAACTTTGATAATTTGAGAGATTTATCAAAATTAAATTTATTGATTGACATATACATTTACACACTGTTATCCTATAAATAACAATCATGATTTTAGGTCTGATATCAACTCATATAAAGAAACAATATATAAATCTATACGATAAACAAAAGAGATGATCATTTCTTCATTCTCTTTCTCTAATAATTCATTTTTTAATATCATTGGTCAATCATCGTACAATTATTAATTATAACTCTCCATTTAAATTAAAAGAGATGTATCGTAAACCGTATTAATTGTTCCATTAACAGGTGAGTAATATGTTAATTTAGTAAATGAATATTTATCATAAATATATGGTTAAGATGAACTCATTGAACCAAGCTTGGGATTGAGATTTTACCTTTATCCTACCTTACCAATCGAGTCTGCTCCACTTAACCGAAAAGAAATAGTATTTTTTTAGTAATTTTTTTTGAAGTTATGAAAAAGGGGATGATTGAGTATTGACTTTCAAAGTAGAGCTTACTCACCAGCAAAATCAACAAATGGGGTCCAATGACATTTGGAGTAGTAATAATTTATATACAAGGCCATTGCCATAACCAATTCTATATATACAACCATTCCTCCACTCACCAACTCAAACTTAAATTGAACTTTTGTATTCTAAAACAAAGCCATGGGGAATTGCTTAATTCGTGAAGAGAAGGTGATCAGAGTCATGAAAACCGATGGGAAAATCCTAGAATATCAACCACCCATCAAAGTACACCAAGTTTTATCGGATTTCTCCGCTCATGCACTGTCGGATTCTTTCGCCGGTTTCCACCACCTTCGGCCCAATGCAAAGCTGCTTCCCGGACTGTTGTATTACCTCATCTTTCTTCCATCACCGACCCAAAAGAGCAAGAAAAAGACGGTGAGGTTTTCTAATGTTCCGGACGTGAACGATGAACAAGGAAGAGGCCATGGCATTGTACGGATTAAGTTGATGATCAGTAAGAAAGAATTACAAGACTTGGTTCAAAAGGGAGTTTCAGTTCATGATTTGGCTTCTCAGATGCATAAAAGTAAACAAAGCACGAATGGTGATGATATATTTGATGGTGATAACTGCAGAAGAAGGTGGAAGCCTGCATTAGAAAGTATAGCTGAAGTAAACTAGGAAAGTATACATGTATATATATATATATATAACTATATATATATATATATATATATATACATGTATATATATATATATATATTATATACTGCAACTACATAAATGCATGTTTCTTTTATGAAATTTTGCAGATAAAAAAAGAGGCTTGAATCCTCGTCCTTGTTAACATCTTACATCCATTGATTTTGTTAGGTTTTCTCATAATTTAAAGAGAAAATAACCTCAGTGACCAAAAATGCCTTAAAATATACGATTTTAACCAACTTTTTTTTGGATTTGCCAAAATGACCAACTAAATCGCAATGCGATCGATAATTCGCAACGCGATCTCCGGTATCGCAAATCAGTTTCTAGATTCGCAACGCGATTCTGACTATCGTATTTCGATTTTCAGACTATCGCAATGCAAATATGTAAATCGCAATGCGATTATGATTATCGCAACGCGATTCTGACTATCGCAACGCGATGCTGACTATCGCAACGCGATGCTGACTATCGCAATGCGATTTTCAAAGCACCATTATTATCGCAACGCATATTTTTTTTCAAATTCCAAACACGAATATTAATATATCGGAACACTGAACCGTCCACAGTATATCCCGTAATCGCAACTCATAACCTAAAACCCTAAATCACAACTCAGTCCCATCTCCATCTCTCACTCTCTAAGGCGACATCCGTCCCCATGTCCGACGAAATCAGTCCCCATCTCTGGCGAAATCCGTCTATCTCCATCTCTTAGAGCCACCCTCACAATCATTCACGGTCAAAAATGGAAAATCAACCAAATCAACCACCGAGGGTTAGTTTTTTTAATTTTTTTATTTTGAAATTTTTGTATTATTATTAGGTTTTTCATATTGAAATTGATGATAAGTTTATTGGTAATTTCAATAATAGATTAACCATTTCATTTAAATTGCTTATTAAATTCATTCGATTGCTGCAATACTGCTAATCTGTTTAGTCTTTAAACCCTGTGAATTTAGTATTTGTCTTTGTTTTGTCTTTTGGTTGAAGTAATGCAATCCATTCAAGTTTCAATTTTAGTATTTGAAACCGAGAATCGCAACGCGAAATGAAAATCGCAACGACAGAATCACAATGCGATTTTAGTTTCGCGTTGCGATTTTCATTTCGCGTTGCGATAGTCAAATTCGCGTTGCGATAGTCATTTTCGTGTTGCGATTTTCATTTTCGTGTTGCGATTTTAAGTTTCAGAAACTATTCTTCTTCTGCAAATTGAAACTTGAATGAATTGCATTACTTCAACAAAAAAACAAAGACAAATACTAAATTCACAGTGTTGCAAATTTAAGTTTGAAGAATAAACTACTACTCTTTATGTTTATTGTTCTTGGTATATCTTGTAGTTTTTGGTATATCTAACTTGGTATGTTTATTGTTTTTGTAGAACTTTTATTCGGCTCAATTGACCTTAAGAAATAAAGTAAGCCTGGCTAAAAAAATTGCGTCGAAGCTTTCACCTACACAAAGAAAAATATTTGAGGATACTTGCTTCGGGCCATGGCTGAAAGTACAACATCCGGGTGGAGATGCTATATTGACCCATATGTTTCTTCAAACCATGACTAGCGATCTACCAGAGACTATACAACGTCGTGATGAAGAGATATGGTTTGATTTTCCACCGGCGTATACGTGTTTTGGGTGGGAGGAGTTTTGCTTAATCACTGGTCTACGCTTCGGACACGATGATGTAGGTCGGTACACTAGACATATTACCCGCCTATCATGGTTATCCCGGGTTTTCCTGAGCTGTCAATGGAGAAGCCGAATTTACACATGGAAGACTTGACGAGATTATTGAATAAGAAAGATGGTTTTACTCAGATGGATGACGTCGACGTTGTCCGAGTATGCCTTCTAATACTTTTGCATGCCGGCTTTTTAGGCAGAGAGGCCAGACAACCTATTCCTAATGATCTAATTAAATTGGTAAAGGACCTAAATGCATGGAACCTGTTTCCGTGGGGTTCGTATCTATGGAAAGCTACATGGAATAAGTTGTCGTCTGCCTTTGATGATCGAAAAAGTTTGCGTGGCGATGGTTCCAAATACACTTTGTTAGGCTTTATTTGGGCCTTTAAGGTAAGAATTTTTATATAATGTTTCCAAAATTATAATTAATTATTTAACAATTACTAATGTTTGTTATTATATTGTTTGTAGATTTGGATATTTGAGGCCTTTCCTGCCATGTAGACATATGCATTAAAAACTTCTAATGATATTCCTAGGGTTATTTCCTAGAAGAGGAAACAGACCTTGCAGCAATGGGAATATTTACTACCGTATACGACAATAAATAATGTAAGTTAACACAAATACTACCATATGTTTATAAACAAGTTATTACTAGTACACGTTTAACTTTGTTTGAGCTTTTATATTGTTAGGAGGCCAACACTCCATTCCAGAGGCTGACACCCACGGAAGCTGAGCTTGCCACTGATTGGTGGAAAGCTAGTAAGCATTTTTTTGATGGCACGGATGATGAGCATCCCCCACTTCGAGAGCCATCACCTCACCCAGAGCCATCACCTGATCGACCCGACTATACACCTCCACAACGAGAGCCATCACCTATTCTGTCACATCATCGAGCCTCTTCTCCACCATCACCTCATGATAGGCGACCGACAAAGATGCCACGATGTTTATCTCTCTGTTCTCCACCTCCACGGGATGAGTTAAGGGGGTTACGTGATGAGGTCAATGCCTTGCGTGAGGAGGTCGGTACTTTACGCGATGACAATGATGCATGGTGTATTGAGGTAGTCACTCTACGTGGTGAGGTAGCCGCTCTACGTGAGATGGTAGCATCGTTGTAGAATGAGGTTCATACTCTACGCAACGAGGTAAGTTTAATATTTTTCATATTTAACTTGATGATAAATTTACTCGTAATTTCACTTAGATTAACCATTTCACTTAGATTGCTTAGTAAATTCATTCGGTTGCTGCCAATACTGCTAAACTGTTTATTCTTTAACCCTGTGAAGTTAGTATTTGTTTTTGGTTGTCTTTTGGTTGAAGTAATGCAATCCATTCAAGTTTCAATTTGTAGAAGAAGAATAGTTTACTTTCGCAACGCGAAAATAACTATCGCAACGAAAGAATCGCAATGCGAAATGAAAATCGCATTGTGATTCTCTCGTTGCGATAGTCAAATTTGCGTTGTGACAGTCATTTTCGCGTTGCGATAGTCATTCGTGTTGCGATTTTAAGTTTCAGATTCTATTCTTGTTCTGCAAATTTAAACTTGAATGAATTGCATTACTTCAACCAAAAGACAAAGGCAAATACTAACTTCACAGTGTTGAAAATTTAAGTTTCAAGAATAAACTACTACTCTTTATGTTGTCATTGAACCTCCACTAAAAATATATGTTGTCCTTTTAAATGTTTATAAAAGTGATTACTTCTGGAATGTTATCTGATGCATTTTGTGAACAATGATAGAATAATGACTTGGGTGAATACTGTGCAAGTTTGAAATATATTTGTCTTTGTTTTCACTGTTTAATATCATGTCTGTTTATTTACTGATTTATGTATTAATTTATTTTTAGCGGCCCGCTAAGGTGGATGCTCTACGTTGGGTTTTTCTTGCAAGACGGAGTTCACGCATCAGACGGCGTGCATGTGCCATTACGTCTCCGTTCACTCCAATAGTGCGAAGAATCCGTAAGAAAAAGCCCGACTCACCTGTCATCGTTCAAGAGGCCTCCTCTATCGTTCAAGAGGCCACTATCATCCCTCAAGAGTCCCCTCCCACCATTCAGGAGGCTACTGTCATCGTTGAAGAGGTCTCTCCCAACATTCTAGAGCCCGATTCACACGTCGTAATATATCGAATTATTGAGAAACCCCCTCACGTGCCGGACATGATGGATGACTGTTGGCTTTCGTATAAGTTACCGACCAGTACCATTCCGGAAGATGAAGTGGAGAGGAAACAACTATCAAAAACAATTCTGGATAATACCCTTTAGGCTAAGACCTCAGTTGATTTTTATCTACATGAGCGGAGCCAAGGGTTTTACGCTGACATATACAAACTCAACGATGATATGCATTTGTTGATTGAACGGTCTTGGTGGGGTGTGTTATTAAGGGTTGAAGACAATGGCTATTTCGATGGGGGGGTAAGTCTTATATTTCTTCTTATATTTCATTTTGATTAATTTTTTTTATATTTATGTAATTCACTAATATATGTCTTTTTTTGTAAAACAGCGTATTGATGCATGGGTGTCACTTCTTCTAATAGTAAGGAAATTGAAGAAAAATAAAAAAAATACGCGATATACAATTATGCCGACGTCTTGTCACGTAGTTCTCTTGAAGAATCAACGACAGGAATCATATGTGTTGACTAATGGACAAGCTAAACTTTATCCTGTATGGTGGGAGGTCGATAAGGTTAGTATTTATTTGTTTAAATATTTTAAAGGTGTTCATAAATAAGTGCGCAATTTGAATTATTACATTTCGATGCAGGTGTTTATCCCTGTTTTGAAACGCACTCATTGGCTTCTCGTCGAGCTTCATCTCCCATCCCTAAAGACAATAGTATATGACAGCATGATAAATTACATATCATTGTCTGATTTGAGAGATATTATTAAGGGATGAAGCTCTCATTTGGCTAAATTCTTGGATGCGATTAATTATTGGACTTATTCTGGAAACAAGAAGCCAAAAAAGTTCAATGTTACAGTTATCAGAGACGAGACCGCGCCACAACAAACGCCGGAAGCCAGAGAGGATTGCGGTCCTCTCGTATGCATGTGCTTGGAGCGTTTGACGACAGGAAGTGCACAGTTTCTACCTCCCACCGATATAGATAGAGGTGCAGTAGGCTTGTGGTTTCGACATTTTATGGCTAGAACAATATATGCGAGACGCTGCCTACCTGCATCTGCGTTATGAAAGTGTCCATAAACAATTTGTAAGTCAAATGCAAGTGTTGTTAAGTACCTAGAATTCAATAATAATTTGCTGTTTGTTGGTTTTAGATGTGTAGAAAGTGTTATTTGAGCAAATGTTTGGTTTCTGCAGGTTAATCCTGAAGTGAACTGCGTGAAATTGATGTATGGGTGCATAAACAACTGTCTGGGGTACACTTTTTTTGATTGTTTAATTGATTCTTAAAAGTCTGATTTGTTTAATTGATGAGGAAAATAG